TCAGAATCGACGTTGGCAAACCGTTGACGGTGGCGCTGTACCACTAAAAAGTCCATTCCCCATCTTCCGCATCAGCGCTATCATAGGAGTAACCCGTTATACCCCTTAATCCGGCGGAGGAGAGGACGGAGAAAAAAGGGACCGAGCCCCTGAGGGTAGTCGGTCGAGACAGAAGAAGGGGACGGAAGAAAACGTGGTGCAATTCAGGGTCTTGTGAGCGCAAAAAGTCTTCATCCAGCATCAACGCACGCACACAGGAGTGTGAAGGGCTTGACTCATCAGAAAATTGACACAAGCCGCCTCAAAGAAGTTTCAAGCTTGGAAGCGTCAGTTGCTGTTGGAGGCCTCCTTGGCGCTTCCTGCGCCAGCCACCTTCGTGCTTCACGGCTGACGACAAAGACTCTCTAAAAAGCAGCTCGAATCGTTTGGTGTGCTTTGTTTGACCAACCGTGATACTTATAGCGGCCCCTGAAAAGCAGTGGACCGGCCAGCTTCAGGAAAGAAGTCCCTGTACTGGAAGCAATTGCTCCCACCAGTCTGCGCATAAGTCACTGCTGTTCTGCATATTATGCTGCCTTGCAAAACGTCCATAGAAAGCAGCGCTGAGATACGGGTAGTGCTGGAATCCCCTTGGCGACGCGGAAGCATTCGTAAAAGTGCAAAATTTCTGCCAAAGTCGGCCCGTTGAACGAGAAGCATTCCATGCAAGAGAAACAGGCGAGGCACCAATTTAAGGGAGCGCACGTTGGTAATTCAGGAGCTCGCGTCTCGGAAAGCCGCCGAATGGCAGACTGCGAAGGGTGCCGGCAAGACACGTCCGCGCATTGCCTCCAACTTTCAAACATCTCGAAGGCGACCAGGACAGCAAGTTTTCTGAACAGGGCCTCTACGGATAAGGAATCCAAATGACCTGAACTATGATGTCTCAGGATGGAACTGCGAAACACCTGTTGTTCTGCCTTCCAGACCGAATTTTTGAGCATCTTTGTCACGCCGACCTGATGACAACCTACTGAACTCAATCAGCTCTTTTCGTCTCGGCCTGATTACACCTACATCCACCTCCCATAAACAAAAGCTCCGTGCTCTCGTGCGGTGCATATTGAAAGATGAATGAGGCGAATCAAAAAGAGGTGAATATTGACGTCAGAATATTCACGGAGGCTTACCCGCCGCTTCGTCGGCCCTGATGGCTCACTTTCGACTCAATATTTGGTGCCATTAAGCATGAGCATCCGCTCAAGGTGCACTCTATCTCACAGTCTGAAATCTATGAATTCACTGGATCACGGATGCGAGGATGAATCATCGAGTTTGTGAATTGCAAACGGCAAAGCTGCAGATTAGAAACAAGCAAAAGGCAGACCAAGCGTGAACTCTGCTATAGAGGCTGTCAGTCGCTCTGCAGATGGCCATAGAGAGTGCATCACAGCCTATCGACAACGGACCGTCCTGGTCCGGCAGGTCCCAAACTTCAACCAAAGCTCCCCGAGGACGTCCTTACAACTGGCGGTGATTGTGAAGAAGGCGCAAACAGACATGTTTTAGATAAGGAAAGCGTCCAAAAAATCTGGGGGTCATTTCTTTGATAGCCTTGCACGTGGCCAAAGAGATTGCACCATAGCCTATCAAAAATGGACCGTCTTGGTCCAGCGGGTCCCCAACTTCAACCAAAGCTTTCCGAGCACGGCCTGGCAAGTAGCAGTGATTGTCAAGAACTTGCAAATGGACATGATTTAGCTAGGAAAAGCGTGGTCAAAGAATCTGGGCATCATTTCTTCTATAGCCTCGCACGTGGCCACAGAGAGTGCATCACAGCCTGTCGAGAACGTATCATCTTGGTCCAGCGGGTTCCCAATTTCGACCAAAGCTCCAGTGAGCTTGGCCTGGCAACTGGCAGTGATTGTCAAGATGGCCGGACATGTTCGAAGTTTTGGGGGCGCGTTAGGGCATCAACTCTGAAATGCATCTTGAGCCTGACGCGGCCCAAGGAGTAGACGCATCTTTGCCGTTCCCGAGAACAGTCTTTTCAACATACGCTTTCCAGAACACTAGCACGACCAAGGCTAGAGCTACAAGAATGACGCCCTTTCCTTGCTGCAAGGGTCCTACGCAACGAAATGACAGGACAGACACGTCAGTTCGCCAGAAAACAGATCACTTAACGCATCCGCTTGGGTGAGGGCTCAGCAATCTTCACTCTGCCTGAGCCGATCTTGTTGCAGCCCATGTCGTAGATGCATCTTGGCCATTCCTCAATACTCCCCAGACTGCGCATTCGTATCCTAACAACAACTCAAGATCTTCACGAATCACCCGTAACAAGAGGCTTTACGAATTGCCAGTCGGATGTTGAAGTCAGTCGTCGTGGCTTACGAGCAGAACAAAGCCAGAGCGTTTTAAACGTTATTTAACATGCCGTCCATGGTTCGATACCAACCGACATGAAGCGCCTGCTAGAGACGCCTCCTGGTAGATTAAAGCGAAGCACAGTTCAAAGAAAGCCAGCTAAAATAAGGCGCGAGCTCCAGTAAGAACGCCAGCAACACGAGTCTGAATTGTACCGAGCGCAATGCGCGGGGCCGGCGACGTCCTGCAGATGGGGCGAAGCACTTCCTCGGGTTCTGCGACGACCTTTCATTCAGAGAAGAGTCCGACTACAGTGAGGATAGTCGGCTGCAATTATACTCCAGCCTTGATATCTGCAGACCACTTTTAAACATCGGGAAATTTTCCTCCAGAAACTCGTAAACGCTAAACGGCTCTGTACAGCATGAACACGGGCATACAAAAGCGCAACAGAGCTTGTTTTATAAGCTCACTAGAACGCTAAGAGCCACAAAACTTTAATCAAGCAGCGTCAGACTCGAGTCAAGCGCTGTGGCGCTACCTGCGCCAACCACTTCTTGCTTCACGGCTCTTAACAAAGTCTCTTCCTCAAGAAACCGCAATTAGGGTTGCTTCAATGTTGTGCTTCGGTCAGACCAACCGGTGAATGAATGGGGCAGCTCAGACCGAAAGCAGGAAGTGGAGGCAGAAGCTCCCAACGAACTGTTTACACGTCACCGCTGTTCAGCAGAATGCAGTGACGTACGATTCGTTTTGAAGAAACAAATAAAGGAAGTAATAGATACATGGCGATGCTGGATTCCGCCCGGAGAAGCGGAAGTGCTTGCAGACTGTAAACCTTCCGTCAACGTTGGCCCATAAATCACGAAGCGTACTAAGCAGAAGCAACAGGCTAGAAACCAGATCAGTGGACCGCACGTCGTTCAGCTCGTGTGTCAGGAAAAGCCGAGTAGCACACGAAGGGTGCCGGCACAAAACGTCCCGCGCCTTGCCTCCAACTTTGAAACCGATCTCAAGGCGACCGGGACAGCAGAGTATCTAGACAGGGCCACTCAGATAGGAATCTCCAAAGAAGCTGAAACATGGTCTTCCAGGATGGGAATGGAAAAAATTGTTACATTGCCTTCCAAACAGACTTTAAGCATCCTTATCACGCTGACTTTTCGACAGGTTACTGAAGTCAAGCAGTCGCGGCCTGCTCACACCTAGCTCCACCTCCCATCCACAAAAGCTCCATTGCATTATTCGGCGCACATAAGAGGACGGATAATGCAGATCAACATCAGGAGATGTTGAATTCAGAACTTGTATAGGCCTTACTGGCCGCTTCTCCGGCCCTGATGGCTTACTTGACTCGTTCTGGTGCGATTGGACATGAGCATTTGCTCAAGGCGCCCTGTAAACTCACCGTCTGACAACCGTAATCAATTATCCATTTTTTTAGATGCTCAGACGGCAAAGCTGCAGATTCCAGACAAGCAATATACAGCCAGACCGACCGTTACCTCTGCTTGTTGGCCGTCAGTTCTACAACATGCAAATGGCCCCGCATGTCACGGTGGCTATAGAGAGTGCATCACAAACTACTCGGTCTGGCAGGTCCCCAAGTCCAATTCCAGTGAGCTCGGCCTGGCAACTGGCAGTGATCGTCAAGATGGCCGACTGAAGAGAATGTGTTCCATTCGGAATGAAGAAAAAACTCTTCTCAAAAAGATCTTGAGCACAAGCAAAGGCCTTCCCGTCCTTGGTTCCTTGCTACAACTGTTACCGCGGAAATAAAACTGACAAGACGTCCAAGTAACCAAAAAGCATTTTTGAGAGCGGGTCAGGGCATCAGCAACAGTTTCTGAGCCAGTTCTTGAATGATACGGCCCAAGGAGTGGAGGCATCTTTGCCGGTCCCAACAACAGTCTCCCCAATATACAGCCGTGTACCGTGGCGACTTGCATGGTAAAACGACTTGCTCAATGATGCATCAAAGTAAATCTTGAATTCAATTCAGAACACTGCATGCACACAAGCTCAGCCGATTACTCATCAAGACAGGAGGCCTCTGAAATCACCAAAAGGACAGATCCAAAACATGTAGATGCGAACACACCGGTTTCGTCGACTCAAACCAAATCTGCGAACCTTGAAGACAGACTTCGTTGGAGTGGGCAGCCGGACCAAATCTGATGGGGCTTGCGATTCATACCCACAGCGATGTGATATGTATAAACACCAGAATGCAAGCTTTGCAAAAGGAATCAGAGCGCGCGTTCCTCCAACTTTCTCGCAGGTTGAACACAAACGTTGAGGGCATTGCTGAGAAAGAGCGCTAGATCCAAGATAGACGAGCACACTTGTTGGTGAGTGGTTGAGGGGCGAGGAAACGCAGATGCTTGCTGATACATGTCGGACAAAGTGACGATGACGTTTCACAAAGTGGCTCAGTCGGTTCTTTCGAACTTGACGCATCAAATCAAGGAACAAATGTGTCGTGATCAATTGCTCGGAACTTCATTAGTTTGTTTGTTCCTGCAGACCTTCAAGAAGGCCAATCACAGTCGGCAATCACCTTCGTTGTCAACAACTTTGACCCAAAAGCTTAACTCAAGCCGAACTCCAGCGTGCCCAATCACTCGGACCGCAAGCCATACCCGGAACCATTAACTCCGCTTGGGCAAAGCCAGCAGCTCTTGCAGGCCTAGCGCGCCGCTAGCAGCAACCTTGACGAACCACTTGAGGGGCGTCCGTCCTTTTCCTGCAAAACACCTCTCAACTTTGAATTACAAGTAAAGTGTGAACAAGTACAACCGACGCAGCAGCACTCTGGACAGATTTTCCAACACTGTTCTGACTACTATGGGTCGTGTGTGTCCCTTTACGTTTCTCGAAAAGAACGACTAGTCTCGCTACCTTCCGGAACTGACATAAGTTGAGCGTCCTTCCTCTGGAAAAAGAGCTCCAAAAAGTAGTGCGACGAAAGTCGTCAACGATCAAAAATGACGACCTTTCACCTCAAGTACGTAAAGTAGTGGCGTTTCTGGCAACAGCTTGAAAATTACCAATCTCTGGATACGTCGTTCTCCATTCAACCTGCCCCAGGATTCAAGTCCGAGCTCTCTCACCTATTCAGACCCGGGAAAGGCACTCTTCTGGTGGCTAGGAAGCACGACAGCCATAAACACTGCCGTTGTACAATAATCTCGTCACACTTATAGGCGTCTTTTCCAGATCCGAGACCGGCCCACAAAGTTACATAGCGGGAAAAAGCACGAGATCAACGTACCTGCCGCCAGAACCGCAGCCACCACGCCTAGAAACGCATGCCCCCCCCACGCTAGCCGCATCCATAACTGCAATAAGAAGCAACGGACCGATTAAAAAGAGAAAGGCCTTAATGAGGGCCGAGTGCGCAAGTGGCCAAGTAAGTGGTAAAACCAGCTGCACTGTACCACGAACCTCAGAACATTGACTTCGACAGCGAGTGGATTTGTTACGTGGAAAGCGAGTCAACAAACGAGACCTTTCCAAACTTTCGGTTGTATCGCCAGTACAAGAGCAGTTTGTGATTACCCGCCATCAAGCCCATGCCGCACGCTTTGGACACACCGAGCGCTTTTCCCCACTGTTGTTCTTTCTTTGGTTTGAAAGCAATTGCCGACAGCATGAATTTCTAAGGGTGAGGGCATGGGGGTTTTGTTTGATAGATAGATGACGTCATCTGCATCCGATGTGACTTTGTGCCACGTGGAGCACAGCCGGATGTCAGATCACTGTCACGGCGAGTTGTTGAGCAGAATGAATCTGGGAACTCAAAAAGGACATATGATGGATAGAAATCCGATAAGACTTGTGTTGGAACCTAGAGCTGCCAAGGGATGGCGTCATGACGGGAACATACTCAGTTGCCCATATTAAGATGGGCACGCTGAAGTTTTGCGTCTTCATCGCCTACCTCTTCATCTCAGCAAAGTCGTAGCAAAGGGACGAAAGGCGGGTGAAATGGGCATTCAACTCAATGAATGCAGGAACCCAAACCACATAGCCTCAGGAAAGCACAGCATACTGTGGGTGTCTGCCCTGAAAGGCATGCGCCGTGTGTCAGATTATGAGTGCTACGAACACACCACCAACGCTTTATCGAGCCAGGAAACTGACAGGTCACGTGAGCACTTCACAAAGGAAAGAGAGTCTACATGAAAGCTTCGAAATCATGATGCATGAGAGCTTGGGCCAAGAGCCACGTGGCAAGCATGAGCTGTGGTACCTGCCATGTTTGCTCAGGGCGGAACGCCCTGAATGATGAACGGGAAGTCCCTGTGATGGATGGATATTAAGTGCCACAATAGATACCAAAAGCAACAACCGGCTATTATGAGCATGTGAATGCGTAGGAACTCTTTCGGGTTCTTGAACCCCAACCGTGACGGTCTAAAAGAACTTTTTAACGGTTGAAAGAAGGACACGGATGAGCTTTCGGCACTTCAGATTAGCGGACGGACCATTTTGAGAGCATCCAACGCGAAACGGCCGAAAGGTGACTCGCTATTCTACCATCACGGGTTGATGCTCCATTGCGAACAGATAGTTCTAAGGGCACATTTCATGCTGTCCCTCTTGACCTGAGTGGGTCAAGAGCTACACATACTCGACACCAAACGGCATGAAGATCCGAATCTGACATAAGAAAGAGATGCAGACCAACTGTAGGCCTGGAAGCACACCGAAAGCGGCGGTTGTGCCGAAAAAAACCGACGGCTCAGTGTCTTCACAGAATTGAGGCATCTGGGCGATGTTGTCCAAAGCAACAGAGTGATGACGAGCACAATCCCGTCAGCGAGCACAATAACCGCTTTGCTTTTGAGAGCATCGATAGTCCCGTGCCCTTGTAAAATCTCCATTTGAGCGCCCTGATAGCGAAGATTATGGCTCATGAACATTACGCCGCCTGGACTCTAAGGAATAGATGTTGTAAGCAGGTAAGCTGTGTCAGGCAACTGAGTCAAAAAGCGAACTAGTGGCATCAACCTGCTACAAGTCTGCCACTGTGCCATATGAAGCACAAGCTAGGGGCAGAATATCACAGCCACCTCTTTCTGACAGGATTGAACAGCCACGGAGTGCGACCGGCAGCTTCTTTGCCAAGCCGCTTGAGGGAAGCATAGCCGTTATATTTCGACCGGGCAATGCGTCAGGTGTTGAAGAAGGGGGGCTCCCATGCCAAGCTCACGCAACAACAATCTGCAACCGAGAACTACAGAACTGAATCTCAAGAACTCAAACAGCCGTCCCCAATCGGGCACATGAAATCAGATAATTGGAACCTTTGAGGAACCCGGCTTCTGCTGCTAGGCAATGTCCAAAGTTGGATTGACGGTGCCCACAACAGAGCACGGGTCGGTTTGAATTTGCACATGAAGAAACTCAGGGCCACTGTGAGATACCATTGGCTCGTTGTCTTCTGACAAGCGTACCTCCACTCATTCGCTCTTCAAAGCGAGAGGCGTCATGTTGGAGCATCATAGCCGATCCGCAATCTGAGAAACAATGATTGCACTGACGTACTGTGAGCCGGACTTGCAAACTTGAGAAGGAAAAGGACGACTCGAAAATAAGAAGGCGTCCCAAACGGGCCGTAAAGCTGTCTATGTGATCGGAGAACCACGCCCGTAACGTCCGGTGGTGGCTGCCACGAGGTTCTTACATCCTCCTTCTTGAAGACATCAACTGAGTTTCGCACAGGAGGAGGGCGTAAGACTGTTCGCAAAGTTACGAAGGGAAACGCGACAGACCCCGAGATAACACGCAACCAGCAGCAATCCAGAACACCTACACAACCTAGCCAATATTCCTCGATTTGCAAAGAGACATGTAAAGTATGCCTGGGAAGCCCTTATTTACTTCATGATCTGCCGTCTGAGGGCATCAGCAAAAGCAACGAGAATTGAGTTGTACAAAACTCAGACACTTGCTCAGCATCGGTGCCAACAACAGGTCGCGTTGATGAAGGAATGTTGGACATACGTGAAAACTTGAGAACAAAGTCTGAATTGAGAATCCGATCGAAGGACCAAGGAGCCCGTCTGCACGCAAAGAGGTCTGGTCCTGAGAGGTCTGCTTTTCCAGAGCAGACTTCCAGTCTCTTTCAAACTAGAAACTGAGCACAAGTGATAAGGGTTGAAAGGGTGTTTCAAGTAATTGAAGCAGGTAAACGTAAACGAGCGTTCTTTCACTGCTGATTAGAGACTTTCACAACTGTCAACGAAGAATATCAGAAGTGACTGCGGTCTCAGTGGTGAGTTACAGACAGAGTAGAGTACTCTTGAACGGCACTCCAGCATCAGTCAAGATGGTCCGACGCATGTTTGGGCGAGGACGCACTGCACCCGGCCCAACTTCACTTGACATCAGAGCTACGTTGAGATCAACCGTGAAATGTTCTGGTAAACGTCTGTGCAGGGCATAAATTTCTCTGCTCCATCCGAGATACGGGCGTCGCCCAGGCTGCCCTTCTTGATGAAACGTTTGCCGAAGATTTTCTCTGACGGAGTGCAACAGTAAAAGATTCTAGATCTACAGAAGGAAGCCAAAGAAAATCTCGGTGTCTGACTGAAGTCCTTGCTCCTCAAAATGGGCCCCACATTGAGGCCGACATGAGAAACCCTTTGGTGCGGATCTAAAAGATCCACATGTTCTGGCATACAAGTGCCAGAGATCGAAGTGGAAGCGCAGAAGCAATTGCCATGTCCATATCGAGCAGTTCCACGCAAGTTTCACACCCGGTTTGCTCTGGACCAGGAGTACATTCAGCGGCACCAGCAGAACTTTCGGTGACGTCAGCAAGGACATGCGGAACTCTGGCCGCATGGGCAAAGCCTTCCGGAGAGCACTACGACCACTCGAATCAAATTGGAACAAGCCGAAAGACAGTCCCTGCTACAGCCAGCAAGCAGAGTAAACGCAGGTAGAAGCGACTACAGGGTACAGGGGTTGACGCCGAAGGTGAGAGTGGCGTTCCTCTGGAATGATGCACCAATCCCAACTTCATTTCGGGACCCGGGTGGCCTATACGAGCATCATTGCCACTTAAGAGGAGAAGACGATGACGAGAAGGGCTCAGCTTAAGATTGTTCTAGCCCGCGAATCTTCCCCCTACTGGCAGGAGCATACCACATTAGCAATTCTAACCAGGCAGAGAAGGTTCATGCAAAAACTTGCCAAGTGAAGCAGAGCGGCAACGAAAGGGAAATTGATGAGGAATCAATGAAGAGGTGCCGAAGCTTGAGCACCTAGTATGAATTAAAAGCTTCACTATTGGATCTCAAGTTGAGCACAGAAGCGCCCGATCATACGGCCTCAAATCATCAGCTCATTGCAGAGGCAACAAACTCAAGGTTGACAACAGAGGAGGTTATCAATTCACCGCATGGAAGTCAAATGTACTACACGAAACTCTTCCCGCCACTGCTTATGTACATTCTGGGGGTAGTGAGGTAGAATTCGATCAATTGCCTGATTATCATGGCAGTTAACAACAAGACCACTCGTGCAAGTCATTACGCAACATTGCCACAAACGATTCCAACATAATCAGCATAATCGGTGTAAGCATGCGGAGATGCACAGTCGAAGACAGTGTTATCACAGTGTTAGAAAGGCGACCAAATGTACCTGACACCAACTCCCGGCAACTTTGCTTGGCATTGCCAAGCTGCAAAGCTCTTCAATATCATCAACCGTACAAGTACCCTGGCCCTCAAACATGCTGCAGCAGGTATGCGGAGGCTTGATAATGCCAGCGGATGGCTATATACCAGCGGTGTCCAAATGAAATTAACGGAGATTGAGGCCAATGCCCAAGTTCAAAAACACCAAGGAATGGCACACCTCTTCAACGTAAGTAGAAAAGTAGTTGGGTAAGCAAAGAATGACACTCAGGGACGAGTAGACGAGCACCTGAAAAGTTCCTCTGTCATCTCACCTGCAGAAACCCAAGCACTTCCTCCGGAACCACCCCCTCCGACGACCTTCCGAATGCCACCACCGTTAGCCCGATCATTTCCAGAACGATCACCCTTTGTCCCGGTGTCAACGGCGATGGCAACAGCCAGCTCTCTTTTCCCTCTTCCTTTCCTGACACCGACGGTCCATCTGCCGGTTTCTGACTAGAGACTGGTTCGGGCGGTGTCAATGGCTCTGCTGGGGGGGTAGAAAGAGGTTTCACGAATGGGGCGCGACGAGTTTCGAGGTCGTCGCGGCCGGAGAGGTTGATGAGGCCCGGGCCGGCGTCGAGGGGGGGAGGGGGGATGCCTGGTTTCCGCTTGTCTTCTGACTGCGCCTGACCTACAAGAAAAGCGACTTGGAACTTGGAAAAGCGATTTGAGCATTTTAACTGGTGTATATACCACCATACCAAGGGCTGTTTGGAAGTGCCATAGTGTACTGGAACTTGGCGCCTAGTAAAGTTACTGTTGTCCGCGTTGATGTTTTTCTTCCAACGAATTGGCAAAGAAAATATGCTGTGGAACAAAAGAGCAAGTATCAGGTGAGACCATCTGCAACAAAACTTCCGAAGGATTGTGCATCATGGTACAAGCCCAGCATCTTCAGGTCTATTTGCGCTTCCGCCTGCAGCATTGAAGCCTAGAATATTCGATCCTTGACGACAAACCTGGTCCCAAGCATCTCATGCACGATGCTCTGATCCAGTGAAAATTCACTTGATTTGACCTTGAGCCCTTTGCTCAAGCCAACGCAAAGCAGAGTACAGAAGTAAGATGTGTATAACTTCCCCCAAAAGTCAGGAAGGGCCGCATGAAGTACCAAACTTTTCAGGAAAGAAGCAACAGCATGGAAGATGCTGCAAAACTTACTGATCGCACGCTGCACCTTCTCGAGCCCTTCCTTTGAGACAGCGCTCACTCGCAGTCGAGCTGCTCTTCTTGAACTTGGCCGAACCTTATACTCTGAAATGCTGCACGGTATATGTGGCAGATTGTCTGCAATTCCATGTGGTCTTGCAAACAGGGTGGGAGCTCCATGCGCAAGCGCTGAGCAGCGTTCTACTGCCTGCATCGTCACTGCCTGGATTCCTTAGATGGAAACTTCAAAGGCTCTCAGTGTCCTCGGTCCCAAGCCCTGCGAGTTGCACAGCAGAAGATTGCAGATCTGCTGCAGACGGGAGAAAGCGAAGGCAAACTCTGCATAGTTTGTTGGTCGAATGTGCTTCCCTGCAACTTGCAAGCAGCTAGCTACGTAGCCTACAGCTAAGGG